GTTTATGTTTTTTTGCCAACAAAAACCTTATCACTGATCGCACCTCACAACTCAAGGGATTTTCAATTGCAGCACACATTTCAAACGTTTGCTGTGAAATAACGGGCAACGATAGGAACCTCCCACTAGCATGACTAGATGCAGACTGAGCGGCGGACGCACAGACCAAAGATGGCCACGCTAGCTCCGCCCCTTCTTGCTACAGACGAAAACGTAATCTATTTTGTGGATAGCCCTCATATATAGTCTGTATATAAATTGATCCCCTACCTTTCTATGGGTCCCTCACCTTGAATCCATGGGGTGCCTCTCCTCACTTATGTATAAATAAAGAGGGTCAAGTTCTAATTTGGCAGTGCACACCAGGCTAACATATCTTGCCAGCTCAGTTTGTTTTCTAATTGTCCTGGTTTGATGTGCTTTGTGAAGCCACCTAGTAAGAAAGATCAAGGGATCCAGAGTTTCTTAACTTACTTCTTAATCTTTGTTCACAAATGGAGCTCACAAATGGAGGAAAATCTATCTTAAGAAATACAAAAAGGAGCAAGAGCAGACATCCCGAAGGTGCTTTTCAAAAGATACTGGACTTTCTTGAGTTTTTTCTCTCTCCCTTTTTCCCTTGAAAACATTTTGCTTCTCTTCCAAAAGTTCTGAACTGAAGAAACTTCTTGGATGAGGAGTAAAACGTTTCAAGGGAGGAAAACAAAAACCCAAGAAAGTCCAGTTGCCTTTGGACGACCATGACTTGGATGACTGAGAATCGCTGTAGATGAGAAGGAAATAATTTAGGGGATCTGAAACCTCTCCTGGAGTAAGTCTTAGCAGATGACCAAATATGATGGGCTCAGACACCCATTCTCAGAGTAGGCCATCTCACTGACAAGCTAAAGCCCTATGGCACAATTAGAAGAATGATTGGTTTGTTCCTCATGTTATATGGTTCAGAATTAGGCTGGAGACTGAACTGTTTGACTCTCTTGGAGTTCCCAAGCATTAGCAAATGCATCGTCTAACACAGAGGCTCCCTTCACACAGCCTGCTTAATTGGGCTCATGGGCTGGACCTTTTGAAGGTATTTGCACTGTATGCTGATCCACAACCTTAACAAATGGGTCCAATATAGTCCACCAAATTCTAAGCAATAACTGGACACAGTCTGAAATCCTTCCTTCATAAGGAAATTAAACCAATGGTAAGAAAACCTGAGCATACAGAGTGTGTGTGCGTGTTTGTATGTATGTGTGTGTATGTGTGTGTATATATGTGTGTGTGTGTGTGTATTTGTGTGTGTGTGTGTATATAAAATTTATATTCAGTTATAACTCTTGTGGGATATCCTAAGACATGTCTCTTTTCTTCTGTGTTTCTTGTTATGAACTCTGAGACCCATTGCTGTAGATTTCAGAAAAGAGAAAGCAATGGAAGCAAAGAATTATAACATAATTTTCTACCGAAGCTGATCTTGAATACTTGTTTATGCTTCCTTGCAGGAAATTCACTGAGAGAAAGATTACCAGTCATTCAAAACGCAACTTTTCAGTCAACAAACTTTGAAAATATCTTCACATGGAAGATTCAGGAGGAGACCCCACCAGGCACGCTCTACGATGTTCAGTATAAGACGTAAGGATGTTGTTGTTTTTTTCATAAAACTTTGTGGAATGTATTATATGAGCTGAATCCATGGATATTTCAAATAGGGTACAGGTAGTCCTCAACCAACAATCACAATTGAGTGCAAAATTTTTGTTGCTAAATTCATGAAGTGAATTTTGCTCCATTTCTTGTCACAGTTGTTATGTGAAGCCCCGCCACTCTCAACTGCATGTGGTCAGCTGCCCAGAATCACTCCAGTAGTTAAATTAGTAACACGGTTGTTACATGGACCCTGTTTTCTCTTTTTTCAATGCAATTGTAACATTGAACGGTTTTTAAACAAACTTTGTAACTTGAGGATTGCTGGTAAGCAGTGGTAATTGTTGTCTCAACAGAGGAAGAAACATAAGGTTATGTGCAGATTCAAGAGGAAATTTTTAAAATGAAACTCAATCCCTGCCCTTCAGTATCAACTTCACTGCATCATACAGGATTATGAAATGTAAAGTCACATGTTAATAGTTACCAATGAACATACAATATTGCATTATAGGTGGATTTTTTAAAAGAGAAAAAGAATGCATTAATGTACATAATCAATAGGAAATTCGGGAAATTTGAACAACATATTAACCCCCCCCCCCTTTTTTTTAATCTTCATGTTCAAAAAGAAAGGTCAAAATTTCCCCAAACACATATCAACAATCCATTGCTAAAATCAGTAGACAATGACCTTAAAATGCAAAACATTCAGTTTTTGAATTATGCCAATTGCCCCTATTGTGTCCTGCTCTGATCTACAATTCACTAATTTATAAACTAAACTATGTGGAATTCACACAACAGACTAAAACCCATGTATATACACACATCGAGAATTAAAACTAGCCCAGTTTAGGATACTGTGCAAATGCAATGCGAAATTTCTAGCTGACTTGGCTGAGCCTGTTATCTGTTCCCAGTCAGGGTCTCTACCAGTTCCAACATGATGGAGAAACCCCTAAGGAGTGTGCCCAATTTTACCTCGGTTCTGAATTCAAATCCAAACTTACGAAGAGTGGATCAAAGACATCCATTAAAGTTTTAACTCTAAAACAATGTCAACCTAGACATTTTCCAGCAAAAGTGAAGCAGTTAAATCATGAGTCTCCTTTTGAGATCAAAAGAAGCTTATTTGCTGCTTTATATGGACTAGACTAGAAGACTGCCAAGGTCCCTTCCAACTCTGTTAATCTGTTATTCTTTATTCTATTGATCTGCTATTCTGCTATTTTGTTTGATAGGTTCTAAAACAACAATTCTTGCTTAAATAATTATCATAAATAATCTCTACCTGTGCTGAAAGCAGCTGAAGTTATACTTTTCTTTGGCTTAGAATAAGGAGTTCTGTTATTTGAACTCTGGTTTGTATCCTTGAAAAGCTATAAGGGGATAACAGTGTTGCTTGGGGAAGCTAATGTTGGTTTAAAAGTAACCTCTGCCATCCATGGGCTCCCTTATTCAGTGAGTATACCGAATACGCAGAGTGTACATACTTTATTTTAATTCCAAAGCAAATATGGTAGCTGTTTTTTTCCCTTCACAGCAACCATTGACCTTTTGGGCTAAGGGCAATTAGTTCTGCACTGTAAGGAAAAGTTCAAATGTTATTTGCCTGTTGGGATTCTCCTCTAGATATGCTTTCTTTATTAACCCCATAAAGGAGAATAAGGGGAGGGGGAATTTGAACCAAACCTTAAGTTGTTCAAAATGTATTACTCTCTAAATGGCACAGTGCAGTTCACCAATTAAATACTGCCCAAAGTCCTTTGGTGTTGGATGGCTATTATAATTTTGAATTGATGATGATGACATTATCTTAGGGAAAGGGCTGTGCAAAGCATGTCTATATGCCAAACAGCCCTTGGTGCTGTTTGAGCTTGTTTGTTTGTTTGCAGCTGTTTCGATACCCAATTAGGTAACATAACCAGTGTCAGTGAGTGTGGGTTTACACCCTATTTATATGGAGTAGCTTGCCCTGCCTTGCTGAAGGGAGTGTGATATTGTCCTTGGTAGTTCCTTGACTAGGAAACTGTTTTCTGTTTGTTTGTATCGTGTTAATCCCTGCTTATCTGGGTGCTGCTGCTGGGGAGTGTCATCAACATTATTGTAACTTTAACACTTTTGGAATTCTGAACCAGAAAACATGATAGTATTGGAAGATTTCTAGAATGCTTTATAGGAAAAGCTACAACTTGTCTAGCACAGGGAAATAATATAGGACAGAATTCTATGACTTACTGAGACATTTTACATACCATAAGCCTATCTCACTTATTTCACAACAAAACCATAACCCAGTGCTTCCCAACAGCCTTAGCAACTTTAAAGATATGTGGACTTCAACTGCCAGGATGCTGGCTGGGGAATTCGGGGAGCTGAAATCTACATATCTTAAAGTTGCCAATAGCAATAGCAATAGCACTTAGACTTATACATCGCTTTACAGCTCTCTCTCTAAGCGGTTTTACAGAGTCAGCCTCTTGCCCCCAATAATCTGGATCCACATTTTACCCACCTCAGAAGGATGGAAGGCTGAGTCAATCTTGAGCCTGGTGGGATTTGAACTGCCAAATTGCAGGCAGCCGATAGTCAGAAGTGGCCTGCAGTACACTAACCACTGTGCCACTGAGGCTCGGAAATACTGCCATAGTCAGAATTAACTAAGCTATTAACTTCATTATACCCAAAGACTGGGACAAAAAGTATATTTACCTATCCATCCAAGATGGCTAGCGACAGAAAGACAGGCAGATAGACACATGCATGCACAAAACTAACCAAGAAACTATTATAGAAAGTTAGCACTCACCCCTCTCCTAGGAGAATGAAATATTTTGAGAAATATTAAAAAGGCAGATTATATTTCCCTGGATGAGAAATGGAGAAACATGCTCTTGCAAAGCAGCTTCCACCTTTCTTAACAGCCCTCAGCAAATGTCAGCACTTAAGAGATAAAGAGACAGATAGCTCTATTCATAAGCAAATACCCTCATCCAAGATCCAACAAAGGTAGGATTAGCCCTCAGCCACAATAGGAATTGCCCAACAAGCCCCTTCATTGCATCAACCCAAACTTCAACCAAACTTAGCTCAGACAAACTCCTAGCATTTGTACACGGCCCCATGGGAGTCTGACAACAGCCAATAGAATACATGTTCTCGCACAGGAACAGGAAGTTCAAGGGCAAAGCCCAAGTGAAGGTATAAATACTTCCCACTCTCAACTCCATGTGGTCAGCTGCCCAGAATCGCTGATGTGCTTCTGCTTCATCATTAAACCATCTTTCCAATCAGCCTCCATGTTTCCAGTGTCTTGGAACTGAACCAGATGGATATTTCTTCCAACACTATTTTGGTATGAATGTAGGTGTTGTGTGAACTCTACCAGAAAATAAGTCTTGTAACCTATCAAATTGATTAGACTTAGGGTCTGCATGGGGTGCAAACTAAAAATAGTTATGGTTTCTACAAAATGTGGTGGGGTAATGGTGACATTCATTGTGCCATGGATTAAGCCATCAGAAGGCTGCACCTTCTGTCCCATGGCTCAGTTAATTCAGGATTGGGAATCACCTACCTTGGCCTATTTCTACTTTGTCTTTTAATCATTTCCTGGTTCCTGGTCTACACCTGTATATCATGTGCAAAACCTATTGTAAGTAATTATTTGGTCTGCTCACAGGTATGGCCGCAGTATCTGGCAGAGTAAACCTGAGTGCCAAAATATCACCCAGAATGTCTGCAATCTCACTAATGAGACTGAAAATGTAACCGAATACTACCATGCCCGAGTGAGAGCTGTGGTCCCCAACTGTTGCATCTCCGACTGGGCCACGTCCTTGAGATTCTGTCCTAGTGAAAACAGTAAGTGATTCTCATGAATTATGCTGGAAATGGAGAATTCTGGATCTCCATTGTGTTTGTTCATGACATGTAGCCTGCTAAGAGTGTCATCTTTTCCTTAGAAGGACTCCTCCCAGTATAACTTTCCGTGACAGGCGGAATTAGCATTTCTTCCAAGTCAGTTTCCATTTGTCAATTATTTATGTTTATTGCTTCCATTTTAACTTTTTTATTATCCCTTGTGATGTCTTTGTTTTATTGAGCAGCTAGGATGGTTTCTAAAGCTTAAAATTGCCAGCTGATTTGAGTTTCTTCCAAAAAGGTGGGGCACCAGTTGGATAAGCAAAGATATTGATAAATGTAATAAACAATAAAAGAAGCAGAAATGGAAATTCGTGTAAACAAGAGCAAGACTGTCCTTTGCCTGTTGATATTTAACTGAAGTAATTCATGGGTTTAAAAGGGAGATTTATTTCATCACAATCATGATCCTTTTGTATTTTGCCCTTTTTTGAGGAAGAATAATTTGTGGGGGGGGATCGCAGATATGAACTACAGGAAATAAGACGTCCAGACCTTGTTAAGGATTTATGAAATGTTTTAAGCTGCGCTAATCCTTCACTAATTTTCTTTGCTGTCTACCATAAAATAGACCTTCTTTGGCCACAATGAATAAAAGAGAAGCACATTGTCATGACAACATAATCAGTTATAAAGCCAGCAACTGCATTCTCACAACAGGCTAAGCTAAGTTTTGTATTCTTAGCCTGCTGTGTGAACCCATGTCATTTAATTATAGTTCAATATATGGGGTGATTCCAGTGGATTGTGTGAAAGGAGTCATCTTCTGGGTTGGCCCAGTGAACCGCACTCTTGATAAATGAGACTAACCTGGCTAAAGGTGCTTTGTAAACAGTGCCACTCATTTCCAACATCTCAAAGTAGAGTTTATGAGTAGAAGAGAATATTTGTAGCTCAGGGTATAATGGTGGAGTCCTTTGTGCTCTCAGAGCTTGATTGTTTTCTTGTAGACATTTCATAACCCAACTAGGTAACATCATCAATGCTAGAAGGGAGCTGTTCTAACCCAAGCCTCGTTCAAATCAAACAAACACAAAAAATAGATAAAAGCAAAACCTCTTTAATGTGTCTCTGTAAATTCTGTTCATTCACAGAAAGTGCTATTAAAACTAATTGTCCCAGATAAGAGCAAGCCCTTTCAAGGTTGTGGAAAGGCTTCCAAGAACACAAGATTAAATGCAAGGAAATATTCAAAGCCAAAAGTCTCCAAAAACAAACCAAGATAGACCAAACTTCCACGAGGACTTGAAGTGCAAGAACTTATTTGCTTCCTGCAAAGAATCCCACCTCCGAGGGCTGGCTTTTATCCCTTAAGGGAGGGGCCATCACCTTGCAGCCTTATACCCAGAGGTGGTATTCAACAGGTTCTGACCAGTTCTGGAGAACCAGTAGCGGAAATTTTGAGTAGTTCGGAGAACCGGCAAATACCACCTCTGACTGGAGATTTTACAGTATCCTTCCCCTGCCACACCCACCAAGCCACACCCACAGAACTGGTAGTAAAAAAAATTGAATCCCACCACTGCTTACTCCTGAGTTGCCTGTGCTGCTGCAGCTGCTCTTTCCTTCCTTCCTGGGCACAGGCTCCTCGGTGTCCTCTTCATCACTGCTGCCAGCCTCCACAATCTCCGAAGGCAGCACTCCACTCCCTGATGGTCCTGGCCCCATCCCTGCATCACACTCAGGCCCCTCATCTGAGTCCTCGCTCTCTGAGACCTCAGCCATCCGCACCTGCTGCCGACGAACCACAACAGGAACAGGGTTTGCTCTCTGTTAACCCTACTCCCTTCTAGCATGAAGACGTTACCTAGTTGGGTCATGAAATGTCTGCAAGAAAACAATTAAACTCAGATGTTACACTACAGGTTAACATCAGTCTGAAACAAATTCTCTTCTTTCTTTCCTTCCTTCTTCTTTTTAGCTAATATTGAGAATATTGATGTAAAATATACACCCAGCATTCAGTCCATCCAGTTTGTTATTCAGCCTCCTTACACACCTTTGAAAGATGAAAATAACTCCCCTCTGACTGTAGTGGACATTTTAAAACAACTTGATATTAATTTCCAGTATGAAATAATAATTTGCTGCACAAAGACCAAGGTGAAGGTAAGAAAGCAGACACACAAATGATTACTGGCTTACCTTTAAGGCACATGCACATGATACAATAAGCTTAAATAAAATCCAACCTTTATTACAGTCAAAAACCAGCATGTACAATAAGCTTTAAAAGGATCGTGCAGGGGTGTCAAAAAGTCAAAATGGAGGACCACAACTATTATTTATGCATTTATCTGTTTGTTTGTTTATTTTTCATGTTTTGTAACCGCCCATCTCCCTCAGAGGTACCTTAGGTACAATATAATCAACAAAATTAACACTAGGATCTTAAATCTTAATTTAAGATTAAAAAGTTTAAAATTATAAAAATAATAACGTTGAAGCCCCACCCTCTTTTTATGATGCATGTACCGGATGTATGGAGGCTACGCAGAGGGAAATTGGGGGGTCTGGCTTGGGAAATAAGAACAGGATTAGAGGAAGGGAAGAGGTCAAAGAAAATGAGGTCATGGGCTGGATCAGAGAGCTTCATTAGCCACACTAGAATCAGAGATCCAGAATTACCCAAAGGACCCACTGCCACATACAAGCTCTCCATAGATCTTCTGTTGTGTGGACTTTCAGTTGATTTTGGAAACTGCATCTTTCTCTTTCTCGCCTCTCGGCTTAGTGGGAAACGATTGAATATAATGAAGAATTTAACATCACTGAATTGGATCCCAACACAGAATATAATGGAACAATACACATCCGACACGCTGACAAAATCAGCAAGTCCTGTGTGTTTCAAGTACGGACATTATCAGGTATGGATCTCATATCCAATTAGATCTTGGGCAAAGCTATTTTCTTTCTTTGAATTAAAAACACTTCAAAGTCTGCTAACAGTTCAAGCAGTTTGCATCATATTGCAATGGAATTGCCCCCTCAGAAGGGTCCCTGGATCTCTGCATGAAACATGTCATCTCGAGGGCAGTGCTGCCCAATGGTTAAATGATCTGGATATTTGGCCATAAGCTCAAGTAGTCCTCGACTTACAACAGTTCATTTAGTGCTGTTCAAAGTTATAAAGGCACTGAAAAATTTGACTTATGACCATTGTTCGCACTTATGATCGTTGTGGCATCCTCGTGGTCACATGATAAAAAATCAGACCCTTAGAATTGGTTCATATTTATGACAGTTGCAGTGTTCCAGGGTCCCCTTTTGCAACCTTCTCACAAGCAAAGCCAGATTCACTTAATAACCGTGTTACTAACTTAACAACTGCGGTGATTCACTGAACAACTGTGGTGAGAAAAGGTCGTAAAATGGAGCAAAACTCACTTACCAACCATCTCACTTAGCAAGAGAAATTTTGGGCTCAATTGTAGTCATAAGTCGAGAACTTAACTGTATAGCCACCCCAGTTACTGCTCATACATAATTTAATTTTTGTTCATAATTTTACTCATCGTTCATGCTGCAATTTTTTAAAATGGTTCACTGTTCTGGTGTTTTATATCCTGATACACATTTTACATTTGTGAGGTTTTATGCATTAACGCTGTATTCTATTGCACCGTACAAAATAAAAATAAATAAATAAAACAGTTCAAGCAGGTAATATCCTCATATAATCCTGCTTTATATTTAGCATAACACAAAGATTTAAATGGGGCTTTCTGGGGCGGTTTTAAATTAATTCTGAGAGCATCATAGGTCTTGTAATTATTGTTCTACTGTTTGGATGCTAAATTTATGGTTATGCTGCTTTGTGCTTTTATTACATTTTTAATATATTTATTGTGGACATTTTATTCATGTAAAATGATGAGAATCATAAGATTGCAGTGGTCTCAAAATCTAATAAATATATATCAGTAAAAAGCCATACAACAAACTTTCATAATTCATAACGTTACCTGTTGTCTTTTCCTATCTGCATCCACTTTGCAACTAAGAGAAAACTTTAAAGTTTAATTTCTTCCTTTTTATTGACTCCTTTGTTTAGTTTCCAGATCCCAACTTAAGTAAAGCCCCTTATAGATATCATGTTTTTAAGCTGGCTCATTTTAATTTAACTTCATCAGGCAGAATAGCAGAACAAACCAGGACTACAAACTCAGCCTTTTGAAACAATAACCTGCATCAAGTATCAAAATGTTTCTCGAGGACTGAACTGTGGCTGTTGATATGACATGCTAACATTTAAATCTGGATTAGCAAATAGAATTGTTCTGTTGTGTACACATGGCTCTAACCTGGTTGGTTTAGTTCTGTTTGCCATGCTAGAACCATTCTCAAAAAGAAAGCACAGCTCATTTTTTTTCAACAAGCAACCATTTGCAGCAATAATCCATTGAGTTATAATGTTATTTTCTAATCATGATCTGTCATTAAATCTGATTAAAAATCATGGTTTATTTTTAGCATTTATTTTTTGTTGTTGTTTTTGCTTGTCCCCATCCATTTTATGAGATATTGGCAAGATAGAAAATGGAACAAGTGGGAATGAGGTGAACAGACTAGAATTACTTGATTGACCTATAAGAATGACTCTCATTTATATAAATTTAGATTAGAAGTTATGCCTGAATGTAGCTTTTTCTTGGCCATCTTTGGTTGATTTTTATTTTTGTTCTCTTTCCCATATAATTGAGGACATTTTGATAATTCAAAAGAATGAAATCATTGGATCCTTTAAATACAGACAGAAAGATGGTTATTCTCAGTCCTGCCCTAGAAGATTTGAACAATACAGGAATATTTTTTTCTTCTGCATATCTTAATTAAATACTGATTAATTAATTAATTTATTGCCTTCTGTCCATAGATAACACGTGGGTGCCATATCTGTTTGGAATGCTTATATTTATAATCCTATTTACCTTTGGAACTGTATTATACTTCATGTATAAGTATGTTAAACAATACACCATTCAGCAACCCACATCTTTGGTATGTAATTTTCAATTACTATAAAAGTCTCTCCATTAGTTTTTCATCTGTTTTTTTTTTTCATCTACATTATTTTTTATAAATAACTCAAGGTGGTAATATACCCAATACTCCTTCATCCTCCTATTTTCAGCACAACAGTTGAGTTGGGCTGAGAGAGAGATCATGATCCAGAGTTATCCAGATGGCTTTCATGCCTAAAGTGGGACAAGAACTCACAGTCTCCCAGTGTTTTACCCAAAGTCACCCAGCTAGCTTTCGTGCCTAAGACAGGACTAGAACTCACAATCTGTTAGTGATTTGTCCAAAGCCACTCAGCTGGGGGGGACTAGAACTTTGATCACGTGACTAGACCAAACTGGCTCATAAATAATGAATTAAAGTTTCATATTGAAGTCCATATATTGTTAAGTTGCCAAGGTTTTAAAATACTGCTCTAATGTTTTGTATCCCTGGAGAAAATACATATAATTGACACTTAGTTTTGAATTTAATAACCAAAAGGGATGTTAACTTTTAATGAATAATCTAAATTTTAAATTGCATATTTTTATAAGACTCTGAACTAGCATCTAATGCTGAACCTTCTTCCTTGATAGGATTTCAAAGGTATTTCCCGTTTCCAACCTCTCATATTAAATGTGGAGCATGCCCTAAATCCTTATGATTCATCCAAGATAATCCAACCAGGGGTGCATTCAGCTGAGATTATCCAGGGCATGCAAGAAGACCAAAAATTATTTAATCCAACAATGACATCTTACCAGCAACAATCCAAAATGCCACCATTCCAGCCTCTTGCCCAACCCTTGAATGGTCTTTCAGTTGGATATGCCCCGCAAGTGATCAAGAACAGCCGGTTGCGTATCCTAGGAGACAATCCTTCCACATTAACGTATGGATTATGCATTGAAGGGGCCAGCCACAAGGCAAACCGAGGGATTAAGTTTGATTCTTTTCTAAGCAATGGACACTACAAAGCCCAGAGACCAGAAAGGACTAACAAAGAGTTGACCACAATTCAGCAGAAGGAAGGGTTGGTGGTAGAAACCATCCCCAAGATTCAACATCACCCACTTCAGGAAAATGCAAAAGGTCCACCACAAGAATCTCCAAGACTTCTGGGAGAATGGAGACCTACCACAGCGGATAGAAGCGGAGGAAGCTACAGAAAGCAGGCAGAAGTTCTACCTTCCAGCTTAGAAGTTGGCCAAAGTGCTATCTTGGAGGGAGGTGATTCTCTACTGTTAACTGTCTCGCCGCCACACTTATTTGCACACTCTTCTTGCCACAACCTCCCTCAAGATCCCAGTACAGGGCAACTGCCAGCTTTCTGTCTCTCAGCCTGGACTGATAATTTTCTACATTCCAATCCATTTGGATGCCAAATCACAGACTATCCAGTTCAAGAAAGCCAGGGATTAAAAAGTGAGCCTCAGAGTTTAGATATTTCCCCAAATATCCTGGACCTTAATCAACTCAATGGACCTTTCCTCAATTTGTTTAATGACTTGGAGCTGAAGCTCCAGTGGGATGGTAGCCCAGAGGAAGCAACGTCTTAAGCAATTCAAAGATTTGGGGAATTTCTTTCTACAAAATGAAGTGGAAAGCTGATACTTTATTTTCTAACACATTCTGATTGCTCTCCATGAGCTGCATGTCTATGATATGTCTTTAAAAAGAGGAAAACTGCATTCCACATTGATATTTATACTGGCTAAGTGGAAAAGTGAAAATAGAATGAAATAAATATTATTCTATGTTTGACATATAATCTGATAGCGTTTTTTTACAACTGTGGAATACTATATATATATATGTGTGTGTGTGTGTGTGTGTGTGTGTATGTGTATGTGTATGTGTATATGTATATGTATATGTATATGTATGTATGTATGTATATGTATATGTATGTATATGTGTATATATATATATATGTTTTCTGAGGTTCTCGCGGGTATTTGTATGTGGATCTTTGGTTATTCGGGTTTTCTCCCGCGTAAGATTGGAAGTATCTAGGCAATGTTTCGATGAAGTCTCATTCATCATCTTCAGGCTTGTGTCTTCTGCTCTGTGCTTCT